CCTGCAATAGAACAGCCTGCAGCTATCAGATTTTACAGTCAGAAGTTGTGAGGACCACCAACATCTATCACAGGATGGTTGACAGTATGGAGGTAACTGCATGAACCACCAAAATGTCTAAAAGTGGGTGGAATGGCAGGAAAATGGGCAACATGACATGAGTGATCTGCATCACCATCACCTCATCATTTGCTTGTGCAACATTGGAAATCATCAGCAACCTTGGTTGAGAGGTTCTGTCACATCCAGCTTAGAGTCCTGACCTTGCACCATCAGATTATCATCTATTCGGTCCCCTAAATAGGCATTACAAAGCCAAAAGTTTGCTGACAACAACACTGTGAACACTGTGCAAGTCTGGCTGGGACACCAGTCCAAAGAATTATATGCTGAGGGGATTAGGAAGCTTGGTGGCAAGATGGGAAAAATGTATCAGTGTGCAGGGTGGTTATGCGGAGAAATGACCTAAAGTTTGTACTTGAAAGGTTCCATTATTTATATGAAATTCACCTTTGTGTCTTTACTTATTGACTCACCCTCATATTTTCCCCTTTCCCTGCTTGCATACCAAGAACTGCAGATTTACAATGCAAATTAAAAAGCTACTGCAAAATAACATACATGCAATGCTCTTAATCACAATTTGATCTTATTACAAAAATTATTTTGGGTATAGATACACCCTTTCAATATCACTCAGGGAATATGATTCTACCATAGAGAGTGTATAAATGGAGGGGCCTCCACTATGGCACAAGGCGCTGCACCCTTCCAGGTGCGGCCGCCATCTTACTGAAGTCAGATGAGCAAGGCGTTCATAGCAGACACATGGAGAGGGGGAAGGAAAAAGAGGCAAATAGGACCCAGGCTACATGCCTGGGGACATACACGCAGGGACCCAACCATTCACGCTATTCATTCCCATGTGTGGAACCTTCCAAAGATGTTGGTAGCACTTGTAACTCTCGAGGCACTAAAGGCCTCTCCAGATACATCTATATGTACTCTTATGGATTCTACCCATTAGACCAGTGGTATTCAAAGTGCAGCCCACAGGCTGTATATGGCCCACTTAATGGTTTTATGCAGCCCAATATGACTTACTAATAATTGACTTTTTTTTTTACACTTAACCATTTTATCAGCACTGCTGAATAATGGTGATTAACAATTTTTTCTTTTCCAGATTTTGAATCCTTCGCTGAAAACTAAAAAATTTAGTCGTTGCTTAGATATTTAATTACATGTAATACCTGTTTACATTTAGCTGCTTATGTATTTTTGTGTGTACCTACTAAATGCCTAACATTTGGAACCTCCATATACTGCAGAAAAAAAATTATTTCCTCATAAGTGAATGAAGTTAAGACAAAAGAGAGAGGTATTTATTGAAAATACAACTTGTAACAAAGCAGCACCTAGAATCTATGCGTTTACATGAGCCCCGACTCCAAGTAGCAGTTTTCATTATTAGGAGAGGTGGAAGTGTGTGTGGATGTGGTAGGAAGAAGCAGTTTTTGATTGCTGCTCATTTTTTTAAATGGGACTTCCCAGTTTAGAGTAGCTTGACAATGAGATTGATGGCCAGATAAAGGGTTAACCATGCAGAAATTGTGGATCTTTTTCAATGCAGCCCACTCCAGGTTGACTAACATTACTAGTTACTAACATTACTACCCTTGCCTTGAAAAGTTTGGGGACCATTGCATTAGACTTTTAAAATAGTAATAAATTGCCCTCTGAAAAGTTTCAAAACACATTTTAAAAAGTTTTGCACCACCCCCAGATCTCTACAGGTTCTTGCCACTATATTTTTGGTTATAACTTTGCTGTATTTCATCCAAACTCCATCAAAATTTTATCAAGCATAACAAACACATATGGCAACAATACACTATAAGGACTTTTCAAAATGTCCACCATTGGCTGAGATACAGGCTTTTATATGCTTTGGAAAGTTGTCCATGATGGCCATCAACTGTTCAACCTTAATGTCATCCTAAGTCTTAAGAAAACCCTTCTTCAACGAATCCACACAGCTGTGCAGTGAGCAAGCCTTCTCCAAAATGGACCACACAGCATAATCCATAGGTTTGAGATCTGGTGAGTTTGAGCACCAGATGTCCATCCCCAACAGATTTGGAAACAGCTCTTTTTAGAGCTCCATCGTCATCTTCGCTCCGTGCGCAGGCGCCCAGTCTTCTTGCAGCATCCATTCATTTTCACTGAAATGGTCACATGCCCAGGGGTTCAGAACTGCTCTCAGAATGTGGTCTTGATACATGGCTGCATTGATCTTTGTCCCTTTTTCCAATAAAACCAGAGGAGTCTTGCCCATGGCACAAATCCCAGCCCACACCATCACCAACTATGGGAAATGCGACCTGCTCACAGTTGCAGCTCCTGAGAGCAGTTCAGGACCCCTAGACATGTGACCATATCAGCAGGGTGGATTCACTGAAGAAGAGTTTGCTTAAGGCTTAGGATGACATTAAGGTCGAAAAGCTGATGGGCATCATGGACAACTTTCCAAAGCATTTAAAAGCCTGTATCTCAGGTGATGGAGGACATTTTGAAAATCCTTATAGAATATTGTTATCATATGTTTGTTATGTTTGATAAAATTTTGATGGAATTTAGATGAAATACAGCTAAGTTATGACAAAAAATATTGTGGCAAGAACCTGTAGAGAGCTGGGGATGGTGAAAAACTTTTTTTTTATGCGTGTAATTTAATAAAATCTCATATAAGCAACAAGCCAACCCAGGATAGATCTTCAGGTCTTCTATGGAGCCCAAACTTATATCCTACTTTATCCTCTCCTTTATTAACCACTTACCAGTTTCTTTGCTTTTTTTTTCACAATGAACTGAACCAAAAATGTGAATATTTTAATTGTAGAGTTTGATTCTATTTACTTTGTTTGAACAAAATATGTATGTGTAACATATCTTATTCATCTATTTGGGCAAATCAAGAACAAAACAATGAAACATGAGTTGCTTGTGTCTCATGCAGGCAAGTCAGTTTTGAGAAGGACAACATCGCCCACATCAGAGACGGGCAAATCATGGAAGTGGTTAATGTTTTTTGACAAATATTTTTGTTTCTAGCCCTAAGCTAGATGACTCCATTTAAAACCTTCACTCTTGCCATCAATTAAGAAATAACAGGTACACATGAATGATGCACAGAAAATTAAAATATTGTCAGTACCCTTATCAAGTGTGTTAAATCATCCTGAAATAGCTGTACCTCTAAAGATTTCCAGTTTCCTCAGGATGCAGCTGCTATCAATTACAAAATAACCATATCCTAGGATCTTTATCAGGCTTACAAATACAGAAGATATAAATGGGCTGGGTCCAGACCTTTGGCATCATGCGGATGATGAAGCATAACTCGTAACCTGTTGGCATGATTCTGACAGATTTACATGCGGGTCAAACCTATCATAGGTTGCATGTACACTTTGGCTAGGCTATAAGCCCTATGGCCATGTCTGACTAGGAGGCTGAAACTGGGCAGAACTGGTCTTCTCGGGTGAGTTTGACAAAACGATTTATTTCACATGCTATAGGATTCACCTTGTACCTTTTTGAATACAATTTATCCATTCAAACAAAACCATCACATAGCAAAATTCCAAAGCCTTTAGGACTATCCATAAAGTATGAGCCCAATTCGAAATGTTGACAGAATAGGTGTAAGCCTAGGTCTGGCATAGTCCTTCGCAATGAAACCAACTCTACGCGAAGTCATTGGCTTATCAGTAATAGCTTGGTACTTCTCCGATAGGGTCCTCAACACTTTTAGGCTTTCAAATTCAGAATGCAACAAAAGCGGAAAAGTTAGGGGGCACGCTTGATTTACCGTCTCCAGAACAGAAATCAAGACCTAACGTAGAACGGGAAGTGCAACACATGCTGCGGGCTCAATAGCGTTATGCCTTACGTAAACCATGCCGGCTGTGAATGACGCCATCTGTGACAGTGATATCCCCCTTATTCCCTGAGAACCAGCCACTGTTTTAGCAATACACATTTAGAGAAACTTTTTGCAAAGGTTCTTGCGTAATTTTTCATTTTTTCTAGCTTGCATTCACTAATGAAATAATATTATTATTGTACAATGCCATGATTCAGAATACATACATCCCAATCGCACACAAACTAATTTCATCCCTGGTCGAACCATGCCGGTTTCAGCGGGCCCTGCTTCCTGGGAGAGCCTACAATCGAGGGTGAAAAAACCTGGTGCTATCGGGAACGACTTGCATGCTCTCATTTTCCCGCTATTTGTGTATAACTAGTATTGGTGGTTGTCCGCAATTGCCTGGAACGGTTTCCTTGCGGCCACGTTTACTGTTCGTTCTGTTTCAAGTGCAACGCCTCTGCTACTAGTTTGAGTTTGCATCAAATGTTGCACTAACTTGGACAAAACAGAGCTTTCAGGAAATATCTGTCACTACCACCTGATATTATCTGCAAGTAATCTCTGTCACTTTATGTAGCTGTCAGCCATAACATAGACTTGTTATAAATTACCTAAAACTTGAGAGTTGCCTTAGAGACTTGCCTATTTAGAATGTATGCATACACTTTTAGTCCAATCTGGTGCCTTTCTTGTGAGAAGAGTGGGAGGTAGATCACAGCCTATGGTAGCATGCACACTTTGCCCATACTTGTGATAGACCTAGAGGATTACAAAAGATGGTGGGAGGGGAATGGGGAGAAAGTGAAGTAAACCAGTGAGATGGAATGGTTTAACAAGGAAACAATAATCAATTTTGTATATGAGGGGTTTATTTTAAGGCTTTTTATCAATTTTTTTTTAACATTAGATTTAGATGGTCCATCTGTTTATAGTGCCTCCTGTTATCCTCAAATGTAATTAGCTAATGAATGGAGCCCAAAAGGTGCTAGGAATGACTGACCTTTTCTGCTTTGAAGATTTATTGGAGATGAGGCTAGCTTAAACATGTGGCTATTATAGTAATGTAATAGGTTGGTTGATGACTTGCTGTTTGCCAAATACCATATTTTCTTTATGCCATCGTCTAATGTATAACCATCTCTCTGCCCTTGGGTTTCAATCCTGCCTTTGAGGCATGCAGTTTTGGTACAGCATTTTACATGTATTCATCAAGAAATCATGCTTTTGAAAGACCCATGGCTCTCAATCCCTCTTCTGCTTTTTTATGTTTCATTAGGTGCTTCTTTCGATGAAGTCTGTTTCATATTGACGGTGATGGATGCTAGTGACATTTTTGGAGCAGAGAGGAGATCTTTTATGTCCCCACCAAATAGTTCCAGGAGCATCATGAATACTACCTTGGTTATTGGGGCCACAGACTGTCATGCTATTGAGTCTTATGGTGGAATGCTCCCATACCTGGTGACAGAAGTCTTACGTACATGTAATGCATCATCCCCTGTAAGTGTACAATTGAAAGAGTCTGGATATGCTTGGCTGGTGTCTGGGAGAAGGTTGCTAGTTTGGAAGTATCTCAAAGAACCAGAGGGAGAATGGAAGAAGTCTGGTACTCCACATTTTTGGGAATTAAAATTGCCTCCAAGTGCCTTGGCCCACAAGGCAGACTTGGTTTGCCTAATTGAGAAGGATGTTGGTGCTCCAGGATGTATGGCAGTTGCACCTGAGGGTACCATTCGTTTTTGGTCCAGCATAACAAGGAACACCTCATCTCATGATGCAAGCACTGACCTCCAAGGGGAAGAGTGTGATAGACTCCTGAACTTTGGTCCAGAGCTGGGTTGTATACTCTCTACTACCACTGGTAGTGTCATGTTATTGACTCTGGATTTTCTGAAGTCTGGAACCAGGAATCGGGTGTCATGCCGGCAATTACGAATGCCTCAAGGTCTCCTTGGTGGAATGGGTCGTCGCCTGACTGGCTTCATCTTCCCAACCATGCCTGGGCACACAGAATCAGGAAAGGTTTATCTAGTATCTCATCCAGGGGAAGATGGAAGAGGGCATTTGTTATATGTGATGCATGCAGGAAGCATCAAGCAGTGGTTCATGTGTGAAACCCATCCTGAGGAGCTACAGAAGGAAATAGAAATTGAGAAGGCTTTGAGACATGCCTTCATCATGTCCCAATGGGCAGATCTTGGTTCACTGGCAAATGTGAAACTCTGGTTCTTGGATGTTCAGTGGAGCTCTTCCTTGCAAGGCATCCTTATTCTTGCTGCTGCTTCTCTTGCTCAGGTTGGTTCTCAAGTATACTTTGGTGTTGCATTATACAAGATCTCTAAAGAAGTTGAGACTATGGCAAGACCTAATTTGTTTGTGCAACTGGATCATACTGAGTTGTTCCAGGAGCCCATTGAACACATTTTAAATTCCTACCACCTTATTTCATATGCTGGGGAAGCCATCGTCTACAACAAAGACACCATCCTCTGTCAGAAGATGAAGATGGAATCAAAGTCTGAAACAGAAGTTATCCAGTTCCGCAGTGGGAGAGATCTCATCATTGGCTCTGGCATTAGTTCCGACTTGGGCAGCATTCTTTTTTTATGTCAGAGTCATGGTCTGGTGTGTCTTCGATCCACCGAAGTCCTTGCTTCACCCCAGGGGAGTCCCCATTCATCTTTCATCGGAGGCATTCATCTGAGTGATACCCTGAACCTCACCTTACCTAATTTCAACCCTGAGTTCATGAAGAGATTATATGAAGACAAGGCCCTGTCACTCAAAGTTGCTCTCATTCATTACTGCCGCAAGGAAATTGTACAGAGTAGAGAGTTGGTGGAGAAGATTTTCTCATCTGTTCCACACCCAACTAAAGCAATTCCAAATGCTCCTTTAGACAGGATTGTGGTTCAAGTGAGTGAAGCCCATCTGTTGGATGATTTTCCAGCCAAGGACCCTCGTTGGGCTGAATCCATTCCCCGAATGTCTCTACCTTCCTCCATGTCTGTCATCCTCATGCATCAATTGCGAGACAAGCGACAGGTTCATAATCTCTTCATTCGATTTTTGCAGGATCTCAGCCTTTGGGATAAATTAGGCATAGTTAGATTACAGCATAAATTGGTTTCCACAAAGCAAGTGCTAAGAGACCATGCTGAGAAGTTAGTTGCTGCTGTGAGTCTTTATGGTCAGAGTCAGAAGCCATGTATGAGGGAATCAATCAAAGGAGTTGTGTCACAGCGTCGTTCATCTGAGTCCCCCAAGATGGCAAAGTTAGAACCAGAAGATGTCTTCTTCCGTGAAGTATCCAAAGTGGATGATATTTTTCCTGCTTTTATTTCCCTGGAAGAAGAAGCCTTGCTTGTCTCTACAAGCCCTGAGGAGTTTGCAGCCAATACCATTGTTCCAATAAATGAAGTTATAGTTACTGTTCTTTCTGAAGTTCTGGCTTTCCGTTGGTCAGGTGATGGGTTCCCAAATGTGGGCTTTGATCATGAAGAATATCATCCCTGGACTTGTCAAGGTGTTCGTACAGCTTTGATCAGTCAGCACAAGTTCACTGTGGAGCAAGGGTTAGAACGAATTCAGAGTACCTCAATACTTTCAAAGCTCACAGAACAACTAATTGATATAGCTGATCTCATCCTTGAAGGATATCAGAACCAACTTGATGCCTTGCCAAACTCTCGCTTCAAGAATACTCTATTTGCAGAATTTGTGCCATGTAGACGCCAACTGCTACTGCCAATGTTGAAGGGTGAAGCATTTGAGAAGACCATCAGCTTGGCTGAGAAGTACAAGGACTTTTATATCCTGATAGAAGTCTGTGAGAAGAATGGCAACCAGGAACGCCTTCTAAGGTATGTGGATCGCTTTCGTGAAGATGGTTTCCTTCAACAGCTCTTCTCTTGGTACCTGGAAAAGGGAATTGTGAATAAATTGCTCCAGTTGGATCTACAAGAAAATGACAGTCTTCAGCTTACCGAATATCTTCAAGATCATGATCCACGTTGCATGTGGGTACAAGTCCTCAGTTCCCAGAGACATGATGAAGGCATAGACCTGAGCAAGAAATTGCAATTGGCTGCTGAGAATCTGCGGCAACTAGCCCTAGGTGAAAATGCTTCGGCTGTGGCACGACAGACCCTTCTCAGCCTCTCCAAGCTAGCTTTTCTCAGCTGTGGGCAGGAGGAAAAGATAGAAGAATTGGATTGGAATCTATACCTATCAGAATATCAGTCAGAACTCCCTGAGTCTGTGCTTGCAGCCATGGGAAAGAAGCCAGAGAATATGAATGTCTTGTCACCAGAAGAAATGGCTTTGATGTATGTCTGTGATGACAACAAGAACCTTATTGAGGAGCAAGTTTTGAAGGCTCTGCATCTTCTTAGCTTTGGAAATGCACCAGTCCATGAACTTCAACTGCAGATCTGGAGCCAAGTATTAAAGCGAGATGCTTGGGCTTCGTTGTCTGTGTCTGAAGGAGTGTGGCAAGTGTGTAAGAAAACCCTGTTCTTCCGAGTTCTTCTAGCAGCTCGCAGTGAAGGAGTGGTCCTTCAAAAGGTTTTACCATCTATTGACGAACTGCTGAGAAGCAGACACCTCCCAGTGGATCTCCATAAGAATGAAAATTTGGAGTTCTTTCTCAAAGCAGGAATTGAGCATCTTCAGACAACTGCTTCCTAAAGTTGTTCTGGCCTCTTGTCTTTGCTCATTTATTAAGATATATGCTAATAAAATAGTACTGAAACAATTATTCTCACTTTTCTTCTTTTTTTTTAGCTCTCAAGTTATTCTAAGAAATCTTTCAGTAACTTTTTGCAGAAAAATCTTTCATAGTCTCCCTGTCAAAACTCCAGCTGGAAGTCTTAGTGGCTGCAGCTAAGGTTTCCAAGCTGGTTCCAGCTTGAAGCGTTATTTCCAAATGGTAATTTTAGATGGTAAAGGAATTTTGGTTCTAGTTGACTGGTTTGCAGTGCTTCTCAAATGGTCTTCGGGGTACTGATCCTCTAGTGATTTCAGCCTGATTCCATCCTCAGTTATAGATTCTGGTGTGGTTCCTTCCAGGCAAAGAATGGAAATTGAGTGGTTTCTCATAGTTGCTCTCTGAATGAAAATGTATCCTTTGAATTAGAAAGCCACTTGGGCAAATTGGAGTATTTTCAGTCTTTAATCATTACTTAATTCATTTTTTATGCATTGAGCAAATCACATACACATGGAGTGCATCAAAATTCCTCATTTGTTCAATAAAAATTGAAAGCATGGTAGTGGACTATAAGAGCAAGAAAAACTCTAATGATGAAATGAAACTATGGTTACAGAAAGACATTTTTTTCAGACATTATTACCATCATGGGGGTCTGTTCATGTTTGATGGGCTTCTCCAAGATCTTGACTTTTTTTTCCCTGACATATACTCTTAAGTGCCAATTTTCTGGATTCCATCCATTTCTAATGCCTGATCTCAGCTGTTGGAAGTAGGCATTTATCATGGCAAAACAGAAAGCTGGCATTTTTTTAATACAGGGTGTCTTTAAAAAAAAAAAATAAGTTAACGCTATAATAATGGGTTTTTATTTCTCTATTTATTGGGACCTTTTCCCCAAAAATATACATGAGTTGTTTTAATATACGAGAGTCATTTCAAAAGTAATACACAATTTACCCATATTTCAATTTAAAATATATATATATTTCCCAAAACGACTTTACAGCCTTTTAATATAATCACCATCCTGTCTTATGATCACCTCCAAACGCTTCGGTAAGTTTTGCACACCCGTCAGCAGGCCCTTGGTGTTGATGCGGCGGATAGCTCGGGTCACTTCAGTGGAAGCCCCCTCGATACTTCGGAAACGTTTGCCACGGAATGGTTCCTTCAGCTTTGCGAAAAAGATCAAAGTCTGGCGGACTCGTGTCAGGACTGTAGGGGGGATGGGGAAGCTCCTTCCACCCATAGTGTTCCAAAAGTTCAGCTGCAGTAGCTGCCTTGTGCGGCCTCGCGTTGTCGTGCAGGATGAGAACGCCGGTTGCA